CCCACCCTGCTACTGCAAGCCACCACAGGCCCCTTAGGGGCCTCCGGCGCCACCCCGGTTCTGGCACGGCTGCAGTGCCGAGGACTAACATCCTCCCCGTCTCTCGCTCAGGTTTAGGCGCTGTGAAACCGCGGCCCAGTTACAGCAAAGAGCTGGAGCTGAAGGCGACCCTGCGGGAGCTGCTCATCTACGTCGTTTTCCTGACAGATCTCTGCATCTGTAAGTCTACACCTGAACGAGGTGCCTTCAAACCACGAATAGTTAATCCGAAGTCCGGCAATGAACGAGCTATACGTATTCCAGTATGTAACGCTGGTCGGGGCGGGGGGGGGAGAGGTATTTAATCCTTAACTCCACCTGCCCCCCCCCGCCCCCAGCCACAAGTGTCATTTATAAACCGAAATTGCTCTGCCTGCGTTTTGCTAGTAGCGTGAGCGCTAACGGTGGTTGAAGAAGGGACAACATGTTTAGAAGCTGTTGTCATCCCCTTCTTTCAGTTCACAAGCATCCCCTTTTTGCCCTTTCTCCCTAGTGACGTTTGGAATGGTAAGCACAGACATGTATTACTTGAACAAAGTTATGTCGCATCTCTTTCTGGAAACCTCTTCCTCCGAGGCAGGTGGGATTACTTTCAGGAGCATTGGCAGCACTGTTGATTTCTGGAAGGTAAGGCTTTCGTTGCAAATGTTTTCTTAAGGAGCAAGATCCCGGCGTTAGTTCAAAGCAGCACTTTTCTCTCGGTTCTCCTAAAATCTGCGGGCTAAATGTTGCACCTCACAGCTGACAAAAGTTGAGTAACTTCTTAAAGTAAATGTGTAAAACAAAAAAAAAAAAAAAGTCTGGGCACACATAGTAATATTGATACTTCTGATGGAAAGCCTGGATAAACAAGGAAAATGGTATGCTAATTAACTGCTCCATCACATTCTCACTATTAGGCTTTAACAAAGCAGAAGAATTTGGGGCTTACATTTCTTTTCATTTTCTGTTGTTAAAAAAAGGGCAATTTTTATAAGCTGTACTTAGTGCGGTTTCCCCTGAGCCAGCCAGGGGAACCTGCCATCTTGGTTCACCGCACACGCTGTTAGCTTTGCGATCACGTTTCAGTGATGGTTGTAAAATATGGATCTCTATTTTTACTACTAGGTGAAGGACTCCCCAAAATTACCAGGATTGCCCAGCTGACATTGGAAAGCAAGGTTTCTCCCCCTGCTTTTCCTTAAAAATGAAAATACCTGGTTATAACAATTCATTTGGAGGAACCACACTCCCTCTTATCATTCTGTCTGCTCTGTGGACTATCGCTAGTCCATAAAATAGCGAGCCCTTGCTATACAATATGCATGCTGATGTACTAGAAGCGGTTGTAATGCATGATCAGATGGTGCCAAACCACAAGGACGTATGGTTTGGGACTCTGAGTAATATTATCCCCAAGTATAATGCTCTTTATCTGCAGCTCAGAAACACCCATCAACGAGGAAACTCTTTCCACTCCTTCAGAAATAAGTATTTCTTCATTTAGATTCAGATGACTAAAAACACAATCAGAAATATATATCTCAAACAGGTTTTCAGAGAGTATGATTAACGTCAGATTGCATCAGAACAACATAAAACACTTGTGTATTTAAACGTATTTGTTTAAAATTCAACAGACATAGGTTTTCAACAAAACCCCAGATACATGCTATCATCTTGAGCTGACGATAGCAAGTCAGCTATTACAAGTCTCTCACAGAATTGCATAGGGAATAAAATTAACTCACAGAAAAAAAAGTTGCAAGCATACCTTTGAAATAAGACAGCGTGTCAGTGGTCATTCAGCTTGCGTCCTAGCTTAATACGTTAACCTCGCTTGTATGTACAGTTTGCAGAAGGACCCCTCTTGGATGGACTCTATTGGGACAAATGGTATAACAACAAGACATTAATCGTCCAGAAAAACAGCAGCCATATTTACTATGAGAATTTACTGTTAGGAGTAGCCCAGATTCGCCAGCTAAAAGTACGCAACGGCACCTGTTCCATCTACCCGTATTTCCAGACTTTTTTAAAAGAATGTTACTGTGAATATCGCTATCGAGCTGAAGACAGGTCAGCTTTTGGTTTAAAGAACGGGTCTGAGTAAGTATTCTGCTTCAGATTTTCTCGTGGCTTCTTTTGGATATAAATGTATAAGAAATTTTCAAAATTACAATACTTTCAATTGGAACCAGGCACCAAACACAAAAATGTTTTTGAAAACTCCACTGTTAAAACCTAACTAAATCCTTAATGCCACTCTTCTTGAGTTAGTAAGAATTGTGTATGCAGTGCGCTGAGTTTTTCACTTGTTTACATTGAGACAAATCATGGATTTGGTTTTGTGCCAACGTTATAGACAGAAATTTGGCATGAAAAACTTATAGAGGCGGGATAGGAAGAACTGGAAACAGTGAGCCCAGTTCAGCAAAAGCATATGTTAATGGATCTCTCTCCACTGACATCTCTGGAGAAACGTTCAATTATACGAGGTCTGAATTTAAATCACGTGTTTATAAATTGAAATAATGCTAAAATGCCCTGGAAACAGAGCCACATGGGCTGCCTCACACATTTCATTTAGCATTGATTTAACCCAGTGAAAGAGCCTGTGAACATGCCACACTAACAATGAACTGTATGAACTGGAGATGTTGCATTTACTTATAAAGATTTTAAGGTAGTAAACCATCTAGCCCACTTTGGGCAAAGTCCAGATTCATAAGCAATTGCTGTTTTGTGAATGTACTGAATAGCTAAGAAAAATAAATGGGAATATTTTAAGGCCATGTGTCTCATGCATACTTGATGTAGAGAGGAAATAATTACTTAAAGGTCTATCTTAAAAAGTCAGTTGTGGATGCAGTGGAATACGAGACCTAACAAGAAATTTTATATAATAGAAATTAAAGCTTACTTCAGTCCAGTTTCCTTAAGACGAGTGGCTTTGTTTCCCATTTCTGATAGATGGAAATACGTCTCCGTCTCCTCTTTATCCCCATGGTACTGGGGATCTGTGGGCTTGTACAGCAACGGAGGATTTATATTCACCTTACCTAAATCAAAGCAAGAGAGCATGGAGAAGCTGGTGTTTCTCAGGCAGAACAGCTGGCTCACTAGAGGAACCA